ATCCATATAAAGTAGTCAGATATAGCAGGTGCAAACACCCACAGATGATTTCTCCAGCTTTTTTTAAATTAGTTTAAAATCCGTGATGGGTATCAAACTGGTCAGCTTAAGTTCCTGCTGAAGTGTGTTCCAGGTCGAGGGGGCAGAGTATGATATGGCTTTTTTCCCAAGCACCGTGCGTACTGAGGGGACGGACAGAGTGATGTAATTTTGAGATCGTAGGCTATAGCTGTACTGTTTGTGTGATATGTAAGTGGATATGTAGAGGGGCAGCAGTCCAAGCATAGCGGTATAGATGAGTATTATAGACATTCACAGTTACTTGTTAATTTGTACATATATAAACACATCATATGCTGATGTGATAAAATGCAGTACTGTACTACTTATCTACTTAATGTATCTACATTTTAATAAATAATGTAAGTTTTGGGGACACATAATGTACGTTGTAGTTATACTTGTTCCTCTAAAAAAATACATCATAATACAGTATATTTGATACCAGGTGCATATCACAGCTGAGCCACCTGTGTTATCTATAAACTCCACATTGAACAACTACAGCATTATAATGCTCTTAAATGAATAAAAACTGGATATTATAATAACCATAATAATGTAATACCTTGAAAAGAGGTAAAGAGTAGGCTACTTTAACTTAGGATACTTGAAGTACATTAAGCTGGTAATACTTTATATTATTCTGAAATGGGTCAGTGTGCAGAATGATTACTTTTACTTTTTGTACATTGAGTATAGTTTGATGGTAATACTTTTTTACTTTTACTTAAGTAAGATTTGGAATGCAGGACTTTTACTTGTAACAGAGTAGTCCTACACTCTGGTATTATGAGTACTTCTTTTTTTTTTAGAAGCATGTTTATCGATCAGTTTATTCTAAATATCATGTAGAAAGGAAATCATTTACTAAATTAAATAATACAATTACTTTCAAGTAGCTTAATCAACACAAAACATCATCATGAACATTCAGTCAACTATTCAAAAGAGAGGATTAATGATCAATCTGTCCCGTGTGTGTTTGTAACAAAATAAAATAAGGCTAACCTTTACTACGCGTGTGTGGAGTAAACCGTTCCTTATGTAGATACTGTTATCCGTGTGTTGTTGACCTAAAGGGATAGCTTGCTTATCATGTATCATACAACAGGCTAATCAACAGGCCTTGACATAAGACTGCACTGCCCTCTAGTGGATGTTGTATATAACACAGGTGGCTCAGCTGTGATACGCACCTGGATTTAAATATATATTGTAATATATTATTGTATAGTTAACAAGTATAACGATGTAAACGGTACATGATGTGTCCTTAGAAACAGATGTGTGTTGTTCATGAGTTTGGGTGGATGTGTACCTGGAGCAGAGCCCTGCCCTGGGATCAGCTGCTGTGGAAATGTTTCCCCTGCGGTGATTCCGCCTTCCCGAACACCGACCTCCTCCCTGACACACTTCCACATCTTCCTGCAGCAGCGGGGAGTTGTTTTTAAAGGGTTTGTTAGCAGCGACGATGGGAGAAATGACGGAGCAAAAGAGGCTTTCTGAAGTTATTACCCAGATATTTCAAGAAGCGCCGACTGCCAGGAGGAATCTGGTTGATAACCACAGTAACCTCCACCGCGTCGCAGATTACTGCGAGAACAACTTCCTCCAGGTGAGTGGGCCCAATGCTCAGTGAACAACAACAACAGGTAAAGTCACAACTGGTGCCAGGTTTAGGACTTTCCATGTGTTTTACAGAGGTATTCAGATCGATTACTTGAGTAAAAGTAGAAAAACTTACTTGGAAAAATACTCTGTTACACGTAAAAGTACTGTAGTAAAAGTACAGAAGTATTGGCATTTAAAAAGAATTAATGTGTAAAAAGGGATATTAATGTCCAATTTAAGAATCATATATTAAAATACTGGTAAAAGTGAAGCACACTTTATTTACTTTAAATAGTGCTATTGGATATTTTAATCTCTAATGTATTTCAATTTGGTTTATGAGTTTATTAATATTTTGTATTAGCTAATCATCTGGATCTGCAAAGTAACTAGTAACTTAAGCTGTCAAGTAAAAGAGATGGAGTAAAAACTACATTATTGGCTTCCAAAGTGTATTGGACTATGAGTATACAGAGTACCATACAATGCAAACATTCAGGTAGGGTATACTGCAAAATTGTATTAGAATACATTGCTTGATAAATGTACTTCATTACATTTCACCACTGTAAAACCATAAATACAACCCTCCAGGCAGAGGACACATCGAAGGCGGTTGAGGAGGCGATGGGTCTGGCTGCTCAGGCTCTTGCCAGCGTGGCGTACCAGATCAACAGCGTGGGCAGCACCCTGCTCCGGTTGCTGGACTCCCAGGACCTGCAGATCAGAGACCTGGAGTCCTCCGTCAACCTGCTGTCCCTGGTGAGGACCACATCTACCTGAAACACTGAAACACTGCTCACCTGACCTCTGCTGCCCCATAGAGTCATGTGACCTTTGCATATTGTCGTTGCAATGCAGGGAAAACCTCAATACAGTTCCTAAAAATACATTTACTACAATTGTTGATACCATTATACCAAAATAGTTTTGGCAGTATTGTAAGTATTGCAACTGTTTAAGTATTGAGAAACTATATTTATAAAAACCAATGATGTTTCTGAAAACACTACTTTCCATAGCTGGCAAAACATTTGTTAAAGTATTGTCTATAAAAGGTGCAGCATTCTGCTTTTTATTTGGTGAAATAACAGAATGAAACAAGTAAATACAAGTGGTATTCATACTTGTTTGTATCCTCATTTTCATAATTTATTGAACTGCTTTTGCTGAACAATGGAGTGCTTGACCTTCGGCCACTACATTAAACCTTAAATACAAATCTCTACAGTGTTAATGTTGGTTGTATATTTGTAAAACCAAAAGGTGTGCAAGTTGCTGTATTGCTCCACTTGCAGGTCATCGCTCACATCTGAAGTCAGTCTGGTCAATATGCTATCTAGGAACAAGTGTTCTGAGAGTGTTTGTGTCTCTCTGTGCTCTTCTCCAGGCTGCAGCCATCCACTTTGAGTCGGTAGCCAGGAGAGAGATTGGTGCTTTCACTACTCCTAAAGACAGAACCCGAGCCAAGCTCATCACCCCCCCGACAGCAGGCAAGGAGCCAGAGAGAAGCTACTCCAGAGTCCCAATATCGTTCTCCATCTTGGACTCCACTGGACACTGCTTTGAGGTATATTGGATGTGAAATTGGAAGAGAAAGAAAATAAATTGACTTTGAGTTCAAAACCTTTCAGTGTGTAGAGATGCCTTTGTTTTCTAACCTTTATCCGTCTTCTCCCCACAGTACCCCCTGCAGCCTAAGAAAGCCGACTCCACAGAGAGCATACAGAGCACTGCAGACTACACTGTGTGAGTATATATTTTACCCTTTTTAAAGCAACTTTGTTAAAAATATGAACACTCCCATACTGATTATTATAAAAGAGACATAACAAAAGCTGCACAATTCAAGATCATGGCGGAAAGGTTTCTGAAATATGGACGAAAGAAACAGTTTTGTAAAATACACTCCTGTGCATTTCTGAGGAGATAACTACCACTCTCCTGCCTGAATTTTAAAGGGAACATTCACAACCTTTTGTTATGTTATCAAATCAGTGTTGATTATTCACGTTATCAATATAGGCAATACATTGCTAAGTATGTGCTATATTGACAAATAAAACTGAGTTCTCCTGTTAATGGAACTGACTGGCAGGGCCTACATGTACCAGGATGCATTGCACGCAAACTACTCAAGGCCCACTATATCCTCTTGCACAGCTAATGCAGAACCGGCTTCAGCCATTTCTGCTTTTTAAACCCTATAAAATGAGTCCTTGTCCACTAACCCCAATCCATTTTCACTGTCTGCAATGCGATGGAGTTTTGCTTTTGAGTAGAATTTAGAGCACAATAACCCCCTGACTACGGAGTTAGAGACAAGAAATCCAAGCTAAAAAAAGTGTAGTTCTTACTTGCATCCAACTGATCCAACATCTAGAGAAACATATTATGGTGAGATCCCCCCCAGCCACCAAGGGCGTATAGTTGGGAGACCAATGGCACCTTTCCTACTCCCTACCTCCTACTCCCCTACTTACTGTACAGCACCCTTGTTTGAACCACATCCAACTACAATCGGTTTGGATCTCAACTACACATCTCTAAAGTTTTGTGACTGCATCTTGTTTGGTATTTGATGCTATCTCTTCACAGACACACACACTAACAAGGGGGAAAGAATACAAGTCGTGGCTAGTAAAAACAGCTACCATCACGTCTAAAGCTCTCTTGTTAATACATCTAATATATTCTGTATCTGTACAAGAAACATGTTGAACTATTCTTTTAAAAAACCTTCTTTTTTTTTAATGCAGGTCCAGTTACGGCATCGCTGTCCCCCCTCCATCAGTCCCCACCTGGCCAAACGTCTCCAACCCCACCGACAACAGCCTGCCTCCGCCTCCTCCTGCCAATCTGGACCCCAGTATGATCGCTCCTCCTCCTCCTCCTCCTCCTCCTCCACCACCTCCTTCCTCAATGGACACAGGCCTCCCCCCTCCTCCGCCAAACTTAATCTCACCCACAAGTCTCCCCCCACCTCCCCCTCCACCGCCAATCTCTCCGTCGAACAACGTCTACCCGCCACCGCCTCCTCCTGTATCGGGAGGTTCTCCTCTTCCTCCTCCACCTCCTCCACCTCCTCCTGTATCGGGAGGTTCCCCTCTTCCTCCTCCACCACCCTCTCAGACTGGCACCTCTGGGTTTGTGCCACCTCCACCTCCACCTCCTCCTCCTCTCCTATGCTAACAGACATTATCGGATGTTTTTATTCTTCAAGGAGTAACTTCTTGTGTAACTCTCAGGCATGCTGGGGTGTGTACAACTTGTGCAACATGAGAAATTCTTTCAGGCATTATTGTGGGATCAGAAATAAGCTTAAATAAAACATTTCAAGAGGTTCTTTTATACTTTTTGGGAGTTTTCCCTTTCCTGTTATATATTTTTTAGGTTTTTTGTGCGTGTATATGTTCTGTAAAGGCTAAAATCGCAAAGTTCCCTCCATTGGACTCCTTTGTTTACTTCTGTAACATAGCGACATCACTACGCAACATTCACGCTCCTATTGGCTAGCACTCCAACACATTGTACGTGAAAGGCCAAGGGGCGGGACATCTCTAAGCTGGTTGACCAATCACAACAGAGGCGGCCAGCTAACCAATCAGAGCAGACTGGGCTCTGGTTTCAGACAGAGGGTGAAAAGAGCTTTTTGAACATTAAAGCATGGAGACATGTCACAGTAGAGGCACTAAACACTAATATGAACCTAAAAATGAGCATTACAGGCCTCTTTAGGGTGTGTGTAGTGGTTTAACCTTGAGCTGGCTCAGCGTCAGCCTCAAATTATTATTTTTCTGGGACAGAGAATCCTCCTTCAAAGTGAAACATTCTGCTGCAGTGCAGATTCCTCTGACATGTTTCAACAACACCTTGACTGCATTCCTAGGACACAAGCTGAAACAGGGGATTTTGTCTTTTCCCCATAATGTTATCACCCCTTGATTATTACTTCATTGTGTTTATCACATTGTTTCCTAATGATTATGAGTCACTTTTAACAGAGAGCGCCCTTTGGCCCCTCAGTGTTATTGGAGTGTGTCGTGGGAGCAGTGCCAAAGATGATAAGTTCTTTACGTCACTGACCGGTGAGTTCTGCTACTTTAAACAGGTCAAGGAGGCTATAAAATGTCTGTTGCAAGTCATCGTGCTACTTAACCTGCACTGCATGGCGTGTACTTGAAGGTAAGCTTTATTTACTGAATGGAACATATTAATTTAGTCAGAGACAGCTCAACCAAATTTGATAAATCTTTTTCTGTGCTTTTTTTATTGACTACTCAGCAAGGCCTGCAACTGGAGAAACGGGCTCATTGTAGAAGGTCCTGTTTTATATATTCGTCAGGAAAGAAAGGAAATGTTAGCCACTTTCTTTTACTGCTGCTTTCTTTTGATTTAATACATTCGAATGCAATCTTTTATGTAGCAACATGCCATTAGAGCAACACATGCTGTGCAGTTTCATCTTTGAACTATAGTGTTATATTGACTATGAGTGGGAGTCAGATCAAAACCTACAGTGTTACTGCGGTGGATATACGTTTCATGATTGTGAAACTTTCACAGTAATTATATCTGCCTTAAAGACATTCTGTTTATGTCGGTGTGTTATTTAGGGATACAACACAATAAAGAGCTACCTTTGAACTGTCTGACTGTATTTCAAAACGGAACATTATAAAACATGACAAACGGTTAGATATTTACTATCTTCACGTTTAAGGCCTTTTTGTGCATTTTTTCTCAGGTGTGATTTAGAAAAAAAGAAAACTGCCATGGTCCTTTATTATCCTGTGATTGAGTAAGTATTTCAAACATTAATTTGACCTCCTCTACACCTCATTGTATGCCTGCTGCATGTATACTTAAGCCGTCTTTTATTCCAGGGTCACCTTGATGTGCGCTGGTATCCTACTGTGGGCTTTTTGTTGCCATTTCGTAAGGAGGCGCATAGAAGCAGAAAGATTGTCCACGATGCCGGCTAACTCTCCCTCTGTGTATGTGATCCCCATATATGAAGAGGAGCAGGTGGGAGAGGAAGACGAGGAAATGATGGACGTATATGAAGCTTATTTTCAACCTCCTTACAGAGAGCCTCCCATGTACTGCTCAAGAAATGTCAGCCCTCCTCCATACAGGGTAGGTTTTGATATAGGGTTTTTTCTGCTAATTATCTTTAAAAATGTTCTCAAAGATTTTATCCTCAGCAACGAAAGTGCAATATTTATGTAATTTAATAACTCTTCTCCTTTCCAGTTCGAACCACCATCCTGTCCAGACCCCCCTCCATCATACTCAGATCTTCAACCTTACTCAGAGCGACCCTGATCCTCCACCTCATCCTTCATACACTTCAAACATCCTCTACTCTAAACAAACTATACTTTTTTTTTTACATAACATTCCTATGGAATCAAATAAGGGTCACTTACAGTAGAGTTTGACATTGTGAAATGATGTGCAGAAACTATTTCCAAACGTGATTGTAAATAAGATTTTGCAAGACCTGTCTGTATTGGAAAATTGTAAAAAAAAACACGAATGAATGAAGAATTTCAGCCCTGAAGTACCTTTTATTAATGTGCTTTGAGCCATAATTTAAAAGCCTGGGTTTAAACTCACAGTCATTAACATGTTTCATATTACATTACAAAAAGCACAACATAATTTCACAATATCTTTTCGACCCTTATTTGAGCCCATACAGGTAACTGTTAACGTTAGTGCTTGTACGTGAGTAAGTGTATACGATTAATCTACCTGTAAGCAATCCACTGTGTGGAAAAGGAGAGACTGGTTTTGACTGTTTTAAATACTAAAGTTTCATACTTAACCTTGTTTAAACACTGCCATATGTACAATATGCATACCTAAAAGAGATTCAGTATTTAAGTTAAGGCACTTGTTTACATGCTTGAATATTACAGAGGCAACTTTTTTAACATACAGTATGTTATTTACAAAATAAAGTAATTTATATTTGTGAATTCAATGAATTGAAGTCTAATCATCCTTGAACTATACCCTTTCCCCCCCAACAATGTAAAAAGTAGATCTGTAAATAAGTTAATCTGTAAATACTAAATAAGATCAGTTTCAGTTCACAAAGCCATGACTATTTGGAGGGGCATAATTATACCGCAAGTACATTTTTATTATAGTATAAATGTATACTGCAAGTAGAACAAGAGACGAGTGGTCTTATTATTGATCCCTGAGGAACGCCATCGTTGTTGCTGTACTGCAGTAAGATTGAATGATTTTGTTTAACATGCAGGATGTGTAAGACACAGAGCACACCTCTAAGTGTCTGTGTCTTTAAAAAAAACAATAATGCTGTAAAAGCTCATCGGGTCATGCACTTCCCTAAGTGACACACATTATCCTTTGATACAGTCCTGAGGGCAGGACACTTTCTGTTTGTTTTGGATTCTTAAAAAAGGTAAGGACTCATCCCATTGTAATAAAATAATCCATTTATCTTTTAATTATGTGTCATCAAGGTAACGTATGTTATAATTAGTTGAATATAGTCGTTTTCTCTAACAGTTGTAACGAGCAGCAGATTTATATGATGAAGGTTCACTGTCGGTTGTTAAACTCAGACAATAAAGTTAAACAGTATCCCGGTCATTCAGATCGTTTTGATTCAAGCTTGTTTATGTGTACAATGCTGAGGTGTTTTGAAAGCGTTTAAAAGTGCGTTATTGTTAGTGAAATACTGCAGGGTCATAGGTCACAAGTCAACCATGTGATTGGTCAGTTAGTCTCGTACTAGTGGGCTCGAGTATGTGAAGGCTGACACATCATAATATCCTGTGAGCCAACACCCACTTGTTGATTTGTGTGTGTCACGTCTAAAGACTTCATTTCCGGTCAGAGAAGACAGCTCGTTTTATTCTTTGACTGAAATAAATCTGATACTGTAGATGTTTTCCAAGCTTGTCCACATCTTCAGAACATATCATAGAACATTTAACACGTTTGAACAGCTGGACTCAGATCTTATTCTTAAGTATAGTGAGCAAAATGACAGCGTTAAAATAAGTAAGAGCCCCTACAATCAAGTAAGAGCGCTTATTCTGCACAGCTGACCATTTTCAGAAAATAAATTGAATTATTATAGAATGAATGCATCAAAATTGCACTATTTCTTTTATGCCAGTAATTGCGGATTTTATTGGCTCAATTATGTTATGATACGTCACATTTGTTGATTAGGTTTTGTTCAACTTAAGATAGCAAGTACATACAGTGGAGTATATTATCTTCATTATCTTATTTATCCGCATGATGTAATTTATCCTAATTAAATTCATCATCCTCATTATCTTATTTAAACTCATGATGTACTGTAATCTTCATTATCTTCATCAGGAAGTACACTATTTTCAATATGTATTGTATTAAAAGTAAAAAAAACAGGAAATGGAAATACTAAAAAAAAAGTACATGAATGACTGTAATTAGTAACCGTCTACTTGCATTCATATTCAGTCTACATTATTCTAATTTCAATTAGTTGTCACACTGTCAATGGTTGACCATGTTACATATCATTATTTCGTTTTTTCCTTAGAGCAATGTCAGCAGGTTGACATAACACCAGCCATGGCTCCAGTAGGGAATATCCTCCAATATTTGTAAGTAATCAAATCAAGGCAAACATGAAATCGCCCTGATGATATACCTCTGAAGTCTCTGAATGATGGAAATGTGCTCCTAGATTCCCAGGCTTGGTGGGGGCCATCGCTGTGGTTCTCCTCTGCTTCTATATGCAGGCAAAAAATAAAAGAGCAGCGTATGGCGTCACCGTACCGACGCCACATGATGACAATCGGCTCTCTACGATTTCTTTGTCTGAGGATCAGGCAGAAGAAGAAACACAATATGACAGATTCCCTCCTCGGTACAGCACTGTGGATCTCCCCCCACCATACTCACTGGTGCGTAAGCCCGTCATTAAAGTCACTGCAAAGATTTAAACTACTGTCATTAATATAACCAACATATTGGACAACTTTAACAAAATCACCGGCTGTATTTGGACACAGAAGAGTCAAAGAAAAGTCATATAATAATAAACATTTAAAAATCCAATTAAATAAGTCTTAAAAATCAACATTTAAAGGAATAGTTTGACAGTCTTGAGTGTATGTGTCTTCATGTGTTACTGTCAGCAAGAAAGCCACTAAGCATGTGTCACACATTACTATTAGCTTTTCACCAAAACACGTTTCATTTTGTTTAAGATTAGTAATCTAGAGCTTCCCACTCATTTTAATCATTAAAAACATGAAATATAAAACACTGATTTAAATTGAATTCTGTAATAACAGGGTGTGCTTTACTGTGTGTGCAGTTTGACTCATAGACATGTGTGGACAGGGGCGGACTGGGACTACAAATCAGCCCGGGACTCTCGACCGGCCCACTTCGGTACCGCCGGCCCACCTCGGTACCGCAAGTAAATACCGCTAGTAAATTGTCGACGGGGGGGGGGGGGGGGGGCTAGTGACTTATCCGACCGGCCCACATCGTCCGACCGGCCCACTTCAGTACCGGCCCATCGGGATTCGTCCCGAACGGCCCGATGGCCAGTCCGCCCCTGTGTGTGGATGACATTAAACAATTGTAATTCAATTTAAATCTCTCTTAAAAGAATCAACAATTAAGTTAAAAGTTTCATTTTTTTCTGGTAATAAGCTTATTTGTTTTCTTCAGTCAATCCATCTTCACATCTAAATCTAAGCAAGAAATATAAGGTGTAAAAACAGACAATTACAAGTTGAATTTTGTTATTATAGTGAAATTGTGATTGACTTTTATGCAGTTTGACTCTGGATGCTGAAGAATCACAGAATCATGAAGGGTATTTCTCCATCTTTACATCTAGCAAGAAAGTCAATAAGCATATATCAGAAAATGTACTTTAGCGGTTCTCTAAACCAGGGGTGTCAAACTCAAATACACAGTGGGCCAAAATAAAAAAATGGGTACTAGTCGAGGTTCAATGTTTATTGCAAAACGTATTGAAATGAACTTATTGCACATATTAAACCTGGAACTAACAAAGCTTAAATGATTGCCTATAAAAACAACATTACACATTAAATAATCAGTTGCATTCATTTCTTATGGCTCTATCTGCAGATTTTCCGGAGTCATTTCTTATGATTACATTTTTCCACAGGCCAACAACAGCTTCAAAAAAACTATTTCCCTCAAAGAAAAACCCAAACATGCCCCGTTGTCTCAAGAAAGAAAGTGCAGAAGGAAACATCCATTTAAACTCAGTGTGCTGCTCTGTGATGCTAGTTCAAGCAGATACTTGGCATCTCATCTTGGGTGCAAGGTCATCAATGTTTGGGGTCAGGCTCTGAGCTGAGGAAACCCTCAGGTGTGCGTGCAATATACCGGAGGGCCAGATCTAATAGTAATTTAAAATTATCCTGTGGGCCGACATTAAATCCACCAAGGGCCTGATTTGGCCCCCGGGCCTTGAGTTTGACACATGTGCTCTAAACACTAAAAAATATTCTGTTTTGTTTAAGTTTAGTAATCTAGATCTTAAGATTCATTAAGTATAAAACTCTGACAATTTAAAAATTATATTGTAGGAACAGTTAAATAAAATAATAAAATGTCACTTTACCTTTTTGCAGTTTGATCCCAAGATTACCAGCATTTGGTCCGATGACTCTCCACCTGCATATGAGATGTTTCCGATAACGCCGTCTCATCACTGGATGACACCCGCGGGACACCTGCATCCATAACAACCATCGAGCACCATCACCCCCCCCCCCCCCCCCCGCAGCCACACAGGAAACACCAGGCCTCCAACAGCTACACTGACTCATGTTGTTTCTGTGTATGCTGAAAAATAGTATGTCACTTATTTAATGCTTTGATTTGAACTTTGCATTGATATTAACTGTAGACAGTGAAGCAATCCTCACAACATCTCCATTTTAATACACTTTGATATGAACATCAAACTACAGTGTAGCTGTCCCACTGCATCTACACACCAGCAGAACCATGAAAGCACCGAGTGGCTCTCTATGTTATACTATATACTCTTTATTACAATACAGTACTTACAAGTTTGAGGGGAAATAAAATAAATATTCAATGCAATGCCAGTATTATTCTTCTCTATTCTCTAAGAAGGAACATGTACAGTGAGTGTTTCCTTGGCTTTTGAACAACGTTAAGGCAAAAGTAAGTATGTAAATATTTGACTGTATGTAAATCAGAAATAACAGAAAAAAACGTCCATTAATTGTCCAACCTGTATTGTTAGGTAACATATTTGCCTTCATTATACAATCAGTGCATACTGTAGGCTACTTTTACATTTTCATTTTGTGTTGTTCTTAGTGCTACAAATAAAACTCCAACAGAATCAATTTGCTGGGTCGTCTCGCCGTCGAATAAACCTGACGCCTTACCAGCATAGGACAACAAATGTATAATGTAATCAACATTCAAAGATAAAAGTATTGCAATCTTAATACAAAGTGTGTTTATGTATACATCAGAGTCTGTGTGTAAATGTATTGCACATATATGTTATAGTTGGAATCTATTGCTGTTCATTTTTCAAATTAGTGGAGACAAACGATATAAAGCACATTTCTGAACACATACAATCATACTGTATGATCAAATGGTCTATAATAAATATGACATTTGGTATGTTTCCGTCACCAATCTGTCCTACCAACCCAATGTAAACAGTACACTACATAAAGTAGGAAAGGCTAGAAAGTTTTATATCCTTCAACGAAAAAACCCTTCGGTAGATTTATCTGCAAAACTTATTCTTTACTCTAACTCTATTTCCACGTTTATGATAACAGACACACACACGCACACGCACACACACACGCTCACTCACACTATTGCACTAAACCTCCTAATCAACTCTAAATCCTTCTCGACAAATATCAGTAAAATGATTTCAAATAAAAGTATAACTTGACATTAGCCTCAACGGAGGAACACTAACTTTTGTACAAAAACGCTCTACACGAGGCTGGTCGTTTGCACTGAACGATGACGCTTGGACCTCCACCACCAATCGACTGCATGGAGACGGCCCCTCTGGAGCTACCTCGCCGTCCTCTGACCTTTGACCTGTGGCTTGATGGTGACCTCTTGGTTCAGAAGACCCAGCTGACAGGCACCCACTGCTGCTCCGTGTACAGTTTCTCCAGCGCAGACCGTAGGCTCCTGAACGCAGCCTCCAGGCCGTCGTTCACGATGCAGAGGTCAAAGTAATGTCCGTACGCCCGCTTGATGCGCTCGCTCTCGTCCACTGTCCTCTTCAACTCAGAGTCCTGTAGGAGAAACACAGTGAGACGATTAGGTGACAATACAAAACAAAGAGCAGGCTATTACTTGGATGGAGTTAACTTTAAAATTGCACATAAATCCAACTAGTTTACATCATTTAAATGTTAGTAATGCAGCTTTTTGGTTTGCTTTGCAGAGTAAAACAATCACATTAGGTATTCCCATTACCAATAAAATGAGATTTCATATGATGAATTTCAGGCTTTAAAAGAACCCTGACTTTTAGAGCCCCTGAAAACATGCTTTTAAAAGTATTTATTTTTTCCCCTTTTATTGGATATGTGTAACTAAATAAGTAACTGATTAATATGGAAAAACGTCTGAAAAAAAATCCGTAAAAATATACTTATTTATCAATAAGTTAAAGGTGGGGTATGTCATTTTGGAGAAACCAGCTCGAGTGCGCTAGAATTTGAACGTACACAACCGGAAAAAGTCTGCCTCTTCCTTCAAACTTCCTTACAGAGCCCCTCCTCCAACACACACGAACGTGCACATGACCAATGAGGGCACGAGATAAGTTTGTGCACAGATGGAAGGCTGACAGGCAGGTAGGCCATCCAGTTATTTTAGCCGGGCCGGCTCAGATGATTGGTCGTGCTTTTTACAGCGCCACGGCTTCAACAGATGATATTTTTTTATGTATTTATTGTCAAAGCATTTAATATATTCATTGCTATCGGGATGTTAAGAGCATTCCATGGAATATAACAAAAGTGTTTCTGAAATAAATTACATACCCCACCTTTAAAGGTAGGGTAGGTAAGTTTGAGAAACCGGCTCGAGATACACTTTTTGTTATATTCCATGGAATGCTCTTAACATCCCGATAGCAATGAATATCTTAAGTGCTTTGACAAAAAATCCATAAAAAAATGTCATCTGTGGAAGCCGTAGTACCGGCTAAAATAACTGGATGGTCTACCTGCCTGTCAGCCTTCAATCTGTGCACAAACTTATCTCGTGCCCTCATTGGTCATGTGCGCGTTCGTGTGTGTTGGAGGAGGGGCCCTGTAAGGAAGTGGCAGATTTTCTCCGGTTGTGTATTTTCAAATTCTAGTGATCTCGAGCCGGTTTCTCAAACTTACCTACCCCACCTTTAAGGCAATAGTCCCACCTTAAAAAATAAATAAAACTGTTCCAAACTGTGATTCATCACAACCATATTGTGCATGGTAGAAGATGAATGAAACGTGAAACCCAGAAAATGGTTTTCAGGGCCAAAACACAAACTCACCGTTAACTGTTTGGTCACCACTCCTGACTCAATTGCTGATTTATTCATAGCTTTGAGAACCTCAAAATCCGGAGCTTCAATAAAGACAACATAGGGCAGGAACTCTGCCGTCCGCAGGACTTTAAGAGCCTTCGAAGAAAAGAAAAAACGGATGTGAGACATCTTACAATCCCTGCATGACTGCACAGCAAGCCAAGGGAAAAGCTGTGACACACAATTATAAAGCTGAGAGAGAATGTGATTAAAATGCAACTGCAGCATCCTGATCTTAACACATTTATCAAGCTAATGTATGCAAATAAGATTAGCCGAGTGTTTCCAGTGCATGATGCCAATCATTAAGAGATCTTTCTGATAAATATTGATGAGGTGCTCAGCCGGAAAATACTACAGAAGCAACGAGCCGAACAAAATTGGCTCGAATATAGAATTTAAACTGAAGTCATTTACATAAGAAACACTTGAAACACTTGAAACCCTAGAAAGCAGAGCAGGATTCCGCTACCTGTGGGTTGACGTCCAGGATGCAGATCTTTCCTATGTCTATCACCTCGTGTATGGAGTTGATCTTCGTGCCGTACAGATTCCCGTCGTACTCGCCGTGCTCCAGGAAACGACCACTTTTGATGTCGGCCTCCATCTCACTGCGGGTCATGAAGGAGTACATCTGGCCATCCCTCTCATCCACCTTTGGTTTTCTGCAGGTGACTGAAGGATGAGAAAGAGGCAAGAGGAAATATATAATTAGCATAAAAAAGGTTAAAATCACAAAAATATGCAGGAAAATCGATGAAATATGTGTGAAAAAACATTCCAACTTTGACGCCAACCAAGATGACAAAAACTGAAAGTAACTTAAGTTAAAAAAATATCTGAAAATGACAATATTCACACAGTTTATTCAACAAATCAACATCAAATAAAACATTGCAAAGTAATAATGCACAATTGTTTGTATCATGTGGTTCAGTGTGCTGCACTCACAGGGGATGGTGGTGCCGTACCGCTGGGGGTCTGACACCAGCAGCTTGTTTTTCAAACTGCGACGTCCGACCCCCTGTGCACCAATCAGAACCAGAGTCTTCCTCCTGAAGGGCGGGACCTTGGCTACCTCTTCATATATCCGCAGCTCGTGTCGATCGAATTCTAGTCAGAAAACAGTAATTATGGGGACGAATATCATACAAAAATAGACTGGGATGTTGTTATTGTGAGGTACGATACCTGCATTTTTGGTAGTCAAATACATCATCTTTTTTTTCTTCTTTCCACCCATTCCAACACAAAGAGGACCTGAGACACAAAGAGACAAAACCTCACATTTTTGTCTCAGCCAACGACTTTAACAAAGTCCAAATGATTAACGATCAAGTCGGAAAGCACCAAAGGGTAATAAATCCAAAGTTTATTACAGTTAACTGCCCACTAGAGGGCGCTGTGCACTAATATTGATTGACCTGTCTGCTGCCAGAGGACACCTGTGACCAGGCTCCACAGAGCATCTGTTCAATAATGAAAAGTTATTAAGCCCATGGGGGGGAATGTCTTATGAATAGAGACATAAATAGAAGCAAACACGAGCTCAGGTAATAATTCTCATGTCAGAATTCAACCCATCAAGCCTCGAGTGCTACATTATGAAGTATTCTTCTTCTGGATCAACAATTTCAGACCTCACCCTGCAAGAAAACAAAAAATGTTTATTCAAATCATGCCCCCAGTAGGTATGATGTGTGGAAAGCGGACAGATGTGTCCTTCCCGCGCTCCAAGGGCAGCACAGTTTGCTGTCATCTTCCTCTCCTCCTCAAGTGAAGGGCGAGCTGCTGACTGTGACTCACCACCTGTTTTGTTGAGATCAGATAGATCTTAAGGACCAGAGGCTCTTTTCACAACACATCTCTCAAGAGAAGAGATGATTATTGATCAGGTTCGTATTTACGGGGGTCTTATCACCTCTCCTAAATCAGCGTGCTTTCTCTGGAGGAGCTGTTTGTGAATGTAGGACCCTGCAGCTTAATAACAAGCAGATTGGAATCAAGCCTCCTTAAATCACGCCGGCGCTCATTACCAGCTCTCCAGTTCTCACTGATGGAGAAACCGACTACATTTGCAGGCTGACCAGCCGGCGCCAGATGAAATGTGTGTATGATGTGGAGAGGAACAGATGCCTTTGTTGCCGGTGTGTTAGTGCGGCGAGGAGTCTGTGTCGAATCTACATAATGATGCTCTGCTGTGAGCCGTGAGAGGTGTACCTGTGGTAGTGAGCTCCAGATCTCTCTTCACAAACGCTTTCCTT